ATGGCAGTAAAAGGAAGTATATATGGTTATAAGACATTTATATAGTAGTGGAGCCAAAAGACTTCAAGAGTAGCTCATTTTTATTGTGATTTGAGTGAATGTTTACAAAGCAAATTGGTTTTCCATGCAATAATTCATATACCTTATATTTTGTGACAGAGTGTAATCCCCACATTGTAACCAAATCCCTCTAACTTTATCCATGGATTTGGTTTCCAGTCCCCCTTTCCTATGACTCCCTGCTTTTTGAGCATTATCTCACAGCAAATACCACCTTTTTGGACTCCTGTTCCTTTCTCCTAAGCACCTTACAGGCTTGTCTGTTGTTAGGCTGGCAATTCAGTTACGGAGGTGAGTTCAGCTTTGGGCTAAGGTCATGGTATTGGGGACTCTCTTATCAGACCGATAAGCCTGGCTTTTTAAAAAATAAGTGGTTTTGGGGGCAGGGGCAGGGGCGGGAGGATTATATATCAACGAAGAAGTTTATTTTTTTGCTTTTCAAAGAGAGGAATGAATTGGGGGGACGGGGGTAAAGAAAAAATGCAACAATGAATGAATGAAAATCTAATCTCTGTAAATGTTCATTAAAATTAGTAACAAAATTAAAAAAAAACAAAAAATAAAGTGGTTTTGAGTTTTGTGCTGTATTTTTTTTCTGCAGCTTTATCAAGGACCATTTTTCTATCCTCCCTTTTACAACAGTCAACAATAGTAGCAGAGTACCATCTATTTTTTCTGGTGCCAGGGTCATGTAGATTGATATCCATGTGGTCCCTTAGTCCATTGGACTAGTATTTTATTTTCTTCATTCTTCTTTACTCTGGATGGGGAAAGTTATGTCTTAGATGGCTACTTGCAAACTTTGATCGCTCTTCACCAAAGTAGGAGAGTTGTCTTTGTGAACTATATTATGCTGTTTTAACTCAGTGTTCCCCCTCAGCTATGGTCCTGACCTTCTAAGCCCAGTGGCTCATTCCCTCAAGTTATTTGGTTATGGCTAAGAAGTTTTCAGGGAGTTCTGGGAGCTCTGGCCTAGTGGTAAGGAGTTGCAGTGCCATACTGAAGGCACGTGGTTCAAATCCACCAGCTGCTCTATCAGAGAAGGATGAACATTCTCCTGTGCAGTTTACTGCCTCTGAAAACCCAGGGTCATCTGTGAGTCAGTTCAGACAAGAAGTACTAGTTTCATAATTTTGTTCTCATTTGTTTTTACGTGTGTGTGTGTATGTGTGTAAATTTTATGTGTATTTTCATACTTATATGTGTATGTTTACCTATGTTTACAAGAAACAAATAGGTCTGTCTTAGAGAGGGTGAAACTATGTTTCTCCTTGGAGGCTAGAATTTGGAAGCTCTGTCCAACATGCTGGGCATGTGACCAGGAAGGACGGGTCCTTGGAGAAGGACTTCATGCTTGAAGGGTGGAGGGACAGTGCAGGACAGGAAGATCCCAGATGAGGTGTGTTGATACAGTAATTGGGGTATTGAGGGTGTATGTGTTGGAGTCAGTGAGACTGACTCAGGAGAGGGCAGGGTTCAGAGCTATTGTACATAGGCTCACTATGAGTCAATGGATATACTTATACCACATACAGATATATGTGTAAAAATAACATCTATCAAACCTGTTTGGTCATAGATCTAGTCTCATTCATTTATGCATAACTGTTCATCTTGCCTGCTTGCCTATGTATCCACTCATAGGTTAATTGTTACTAATTAATACTAATTAACCAGTAGTGATAATGCAAGATTGTATATCCACATTGCCCCTCATTATGTCAATATTTATAGAAACACAGTAGAATTTTGGAAATTTTAATGCTATTCAATCCCAAAAAGGATCTTACACTGATTTATTGAGAGAAGAGTAAATGAATGAATGGTGTATGTGTGTGTATATATTTCCGTGACTTTATTGAATGTTTGTCAAAAGGAGCATGATATGTTGCATTTACACTTAGTAAATATATACGCCTTCATCCTTTTAAAAACTCAACTGATAGTGTATTTCACACCGTTCTGTACTTAGCCTTTATTCCTTACAGTACATTTGTCATCCTATATCAGTACATAAATGCCATGGTTGCATGATATCCGTTTGCGTAGATATAATTTATTTGGTTCACTTTCCTTTTCTAGTAGTTTTCATCTTTGCTCTTAAATAGTGCTACAATGAATAACCATATGTGCTATTTTGTACACAAAAATGACTTCCCAGAAGTGGGATTAATGAAAATGTTTGTGCTTTTCTTAGTTTTTACTTCTATTGCAAATTGATTTGCAAATTTACAAAAGGATTGTAGCAATTTCTTCTCTTTAGAGCAGTATATGAGTTATATGAGCTGTTTAGATGTATTTCCGTAGAGCTGTTTAGATATATTTCCGTAAATCGATTTGTCAGGTGAAGTTAGTTGGGAACATGGAGTTAAAGGAAAGACCACTCTGAAGGAAAGTTGATGCGGCTATAATTTGAACTCACCCAGTGTTGTACCTTTGTCTCCATTCTTTAGTGCTACTTTAACAAGAATTGGGCAGTGGTTTGAATCTGCATTTTCCTCCTGTATGATTTACAGCTTCCCAAAAATCTCCTGGAGGTTTAACAAAGTTTGTTTCAACTTAACAGGAATAAGTTTTTTATTTATCGCAGAAATACCACAAAAGAATGACTTTAACAAACTGGAATTTTCTTTCAGTTGAGGAGAATCAAGTTCTTAATTGGAAGTACTGTCTATAGAGGAAGATTCTCTCTGGGTGCTTGGGAAGGTTACTGGCAGATCTGCCTACCCCATCTCTGCTTGTTTAATCTGTTCCTCCCTTACATGAATTTTTTAACTTTTTAAATGTGTTAGACAAGTCTGCTATTGCTGTGGGGATTAATCTCTCCTTTAAAAATTTTTATTTTATGTTGGTTTGTTTACAGAGTTTGTATACATTGTGTTTCACACTATCCTTCATTCACACTGTTTCATTCAATCATTCTGATTAATTATATTTTATAAAATTAATCAACATTGAACTATGCTCACCATTACCATCTTTCCAGATCCCTGCTGGATCTTTCCCATTTTCTTTACCCACCCCACCCTCCATCCATCAAATTGTGCGGCCCTATGATTTTCACCCCCTGCCCATCTTCATCCCTCTGATTCTACCCTCCTTCCCTTGGATCCTCATACAGGTTTTACTAGTCATCGTTCTAGTTCTATAATAATGATCTCATACGGTATTTGTCCTTATGGGATTGAGTTAGTTCATTCAGGATAAAGCTCTCCGGTCCCACCCAAGTAATACATTTCTTCATGTGTCTGTTGGCCATTCGAATGACTTTCTCTGAAAAGTCTTTCCATGTCCTTTGCATTTTGTAATTGGGTTATTGGGTTTTTTTTTTCTTATGGAGGCCCACTCACGTGGGTTTTAGTAAGAAGAAAAAAGGAGAGCTCTTTTCTAAAAATTCTTAGGAGGAGCTCTCATACCTTGAGGTGCTTGTGGAGAGGTAGAAGGGGGAAAGGATGGTGCTGTAGCACAGGAGCTCAAATACCTTTTTTCAAAAAACACAAATGGTGATTTTACCCATGGACCTCACTTGATGGGCTGCATGGGAAACAGACTGACTCCATCTGTGGAGGGATTCATTGGAGAAGTACAACGTTAGCAGTCAGAGCAAGGCCAGGGGTGGTGGAGTGTCTCTCATCATCAAAACATTCGTTTAGTCAAATAGAAATATTTAAAGTCATTTTAAGTAGTATGTTTGGACATCACATTAACTGAAGATGTAATAAGACAGGAGAGTGAAAAATTAAATACTCAAGAGGAGCTAGGATTAGTATCTCCTTGTGGTTTAGATTTGCATCTCTTATCAGTGATTTTGAACATTTTTTCAGGTGTCTGTTGGCTATCCAATTGTTCCTTGGTGGTTTGGGTTTTGTTCCCCCTCAACTGAGATGAAAATAGGGTAAAACACTGATTTGTATATAATCAGCCTCTCATTTGGGGAACCTGGAAGCTTCTTGGTAGAATCCTAATATGTGAATTCTCAGTGTTTTCTGTGAAGTAATTTGCCATACAAATGAAGGCAATGTATAGAAATATCATTAATGTTCTTAAAGTCTGCATACATGTTTTGATGCAGTAAATCTTTAGGTGAGCATGCTTTTATTTTTTAAAATTTTTACTCATTGAAAAAGGAGTGAAAAAATATATTTAACAATTCTTACATAATTTAGCAATATTTAGATATTTTTATTGTAAAGCATAATTTTAATCGCCCTGGGAACTATCTCTTAATGATAATCAATATTAATAATTTGAAATTAACTCTTCTAGATAATTTCAATTTATAAGGCAATATATAAATATTACTTTTTTCACGTGGATGATGTATCATAACATTGTGATTTACTTTGTTCACTTGAACCCTTTCTGAGGTAATATACATTTATATAACATTAACACAATATTTCTGAGTCTCACTTTTCTTTTAATGGATTTCTGTTATTCCATATATTTTTATTTGTTGGCATACTTATAAAATTGAATTAAGCTTCTTTTTTTTAAATTTTTTTTTATTATTATTTTGTGTGCGTGTACCGTCAAATCAGATCTGACTGGTATAGGAGGATATTGCGCCTCCTTCTCCTGCAGAGCATCTGGTGGATTCAAACCGTGTTCCTCTGGGATTGCAGTGCAGCTTCTTGCCACTAGGCCACCAGAGCTCCCCTTGAATTAAGCTTCTTTTACACCTGTATCTTTGCTAATTTAACAAATGTTTTTCTAAGCTCCTAGTAGAATTTCTAGGTCAAAAATTATGATAGTTTTATATTACAGTAAATATCTGAATGCTCAAAAAAATGTTACATCAATGTTGATTGTTTTAGGAAATAAACTTAGTTCTGAACTAAGGTGCTACTTAGTGATGTGATATATCAATGTACACCATTTTTTTTCTGACGGAAGATTTCTAGTAACATAGACTTAACATAGACTTTTTATTCTTGCAGTGATGGAATGGGGTGAAGATGTTAAAGCAATTTCAAATGATGAGGCAGTAATGCTGGTGAATCATCAAGCAACAGGCGATGTGTGCACCCTCATGATGTGCCTCCAGGACAAAGGACTGGTAAGCTACCCTGAAGGCAGAGAACAGCCAGAAGGGGAAGGAGAGCTTCTCCCTTTTTTTGTGGGTAGTGAACTTACTTGGTTACTTTGTGGTTTCTTTTCATTTGAAAGGGGAATCAGTTCAATTATCTTAAGATAGTTTGCCTCCTAAGCATAGATTTTCATGTGTATACTTTTTTTTTCATGTGTATTCTTGAAAATATTAAACAATAAGTCTAAATAGGGAAGATATAGACTCTTAAAAAATGATGGAGAAGAAACCAAAGGTAATGTGATTCAAATGAAGGATTATCTTTAGATGAAGTGCTAGATTGCCATTTTTAGAAAGGAAAACATAAGTAATGGATAGGATACATAGGATAGGAGAGAAAAATGAGTTTGTGAAGTAAATGATCTTGAGAGACTTCAGCCATAAGAAAGTAAGATAAATGTTGGTAAAGTAAATGGAAAGAGAAGCTATTAAGCTCATCTCTAGCCAGTGTTTCTATGTTTTGGATTGTTTTTACATTACTCACGTGGTATAGTGCTCTGGGGGGAAATTTCATGGAGCATCGCTATGAGTTGACATCAACTCGACAACAGTGGGTGATTGGTAACTTTATCTATATATTAGGTGAATTTATCACCTTGGGAAAATTTAGGTAGGTTACATTCACAGGTAACAAAATAATTGGAAGTGTAAAAAATGAATGGGGTTAATATTAGACCAAATAGTAAACATCAAAATCAATGGATATTTTCTAAGTGTTTATATTAATAGTCAGTGACTGTAAGAATATTTTTTAAGGAGCTTATAGTTCAGGAGTGGGTGGAAGGAGAATAGCACAAATAATGCTTATTGCAGAATGAGAACTGTTTGGTGCGAGTCAGCTTACCATTTACTTATCAATATAGAAATCCTTTTCTGATGGGAGAATACGTAGTTCTATTTAGGGACAGAAATAGTAGAGAATAGATAAGGACCTTCTTAGAGAAATAATCTTTGCAGAAATCACAGAAGAAGGAATAAATTTGTGCTTCCTGTTGTTATGTGTCGTCGAGTCGCTTGCAACTCATTAGCGACCCTATGTACACCTGCCCTAAACTCCCTAAACTCTGCTCTGTCCTGTGCCAATCGCACTGTCTCCAACACACCCATCCCGATTACCCCAGTCACTGAATCAATCCACCTCATAGAGGATCTTCCCCTCCTGCGCTGTCCCTCCACCCTACCAAGCATGATGTCCCTCTCCAAGGACCCGTCCCTCCTTACATGTCCAAAATATGTTAGACGGAGCCCCAGAATCCTTGCTCCAAGGAGTTGCCTGGTTTAACCCTCTCTAGGATGGATCTGTTTGTTTTCTTGGCAGTCCATGGAACATTCAATACTCTTCTCCAGCACCACAGCTCAAAGGCATCAATTCTCCTTCTATCCTCCTTAGTCATTGTCCAACTCTCTGATGCATAACAAGTGATTGCAAAGACCATGGCCTGTATCCAGGTGCACCTTAGTCTCCAGAATGACACCATTTCTCTTCAGTACCCTGGAGAGGTCCCTAACAGCAGAATTTCCCATGGCTATTGGTGCCAAGAGTGCTGACTGTGGAACCAAGCAAACTAAAGCTGTGAACAATGTCATTCTCTTCATCCATCCTGATGCTGTAAATTGGTCCAATGGTGAGAATCTTTGTCTTCTTGACATTGAGCCTCAGTCCATATTGGAGGCTTAGGCTCTAGAAATTGAGTAGAGCAGAATGGGATCAGAAAATGAAATAGGTCTAGTTGCTGAGGAGTCTTTTTCTTATTTATCAAGGAAAAAGTCAGAATCAGGAGCTTGCTGAAATGTAGAACAAATTTAATCATATCTGGAATCTTGAATTGCTAAAAGAATATCACTGCGTTGATGTATTTGCATTTGTATTTATTACCTAAATTCACAATGTTGAATTTGTTGTCAACAAATCCAAATAATCCAACCCTTTTATATTGATATAACATTTATAATGATTATTCTGAAGACTTATATTAAGTGTTTTTTAATGTAAAAATAATTGCTAAATTGTTAGTATATCTAACTTTATTTAACCAAAGTGGGTTTTGTTTGTAACACTGGAAGCTTTCATCTGTGCCAAACATTTGGAAGACAGCACCTTCACTAACTAACTGGAAAAAGTCCTTTTTTATGTTTATATTACAAAGAGTAGTAAGCCAATAAAAAGCAGAAATTACTGAACATTATCATATAATATCACATGTCAGTCAAGTATGGTTGCAGTAATACATCAACAGGTAACTGCTAGAAATTCAAGTCGTATTCCTAAAAGGCTATGAAGCAAAAGATATTGCTGATGTCTGATGGATCTTAGCTGAAAGCAGAGAATACCCAACAGATGTTTTCCTCTTTTTTTATTGACTTAGTGAAGACATTCTACTTTGTGGGTCATAAAAAATTATGAATAACTTTATGAAGAACAAGAATTTCAGAACACTTATGCTCTTGTAGGTAGGACTTGTAATTATGTTCTTGTGGGACCTGTACATGACCAGAACAAGCAGATGATACGTGGCTTTAAATCAGGAAAAATATGTTCAATGTGTATGATGAGCAAATAAAATAAGAAAGAGTATATGAGAAAGAAAGTGACATCAAGATTGTAGGAAGACTCATTAACAATTTGCAATATGTAGAAGACACAACCTTGTTTGCTGAAAGCAAAGAGATCTTGAAGCACTTATTGATGACGGTCGAAGAATAAAGAGTATGAATTACAGCTAAAAAATACATAAATTCTTAACTAGACCAATAAACAACATTATGATAAACATTAAAAAGGTTAGCATTTCCGGATTTCATTTTACTTTCAGCGCCCAAGAAAGCAATAGTCAAGAAATCATCACATTGTTTTGAACAGATCTGCTACAAAATACTTTAAATATCTTGATCTTTTTTTTAAATTTTTTTTTAATTGAGATCAAACCCTTTTACTCAGAGGTTTTGGGGTAGGAGAGGAAGAGACAAAGGGCAGTAAAAAGGAAGCTCCACAGTTGTGATCTGGCCAGGATCTCCTGCACCTTGGAGATTCCAAAAACTACAACAAGTTGTAGAGAATTTGAGGAGAATGGGGATCTCAGAATAACGTGATTGCGCTTATGCAAAACCTATACATGGACCAGGAAGCAGTCCTTGGAACAGAGCAGTGAAGCATGACATGGTTCAGAATCAGGAAGGGAGTGTGTCAGCGGTGGATGCATTCTGTCTCCATGCCTTCTCATTCTCTATGCAGAACCGATCATTCAGAAGGCTGGGCTTTATGAGGAGGAATTTGGCATCAGGATTAGAGGAAGACTCATCAACAACCTGCATTATACAGAGGACACAATCTTGCTTGCTGAAACTGAGATGGTGCACCTGAAGCATCTGCTGAAGAAGGTCAAGGACTGTAGTCTTCAATATATATGGATTGAAGCTCAACATCAAGAAGACAAAGATTGTCAACACTGGGCCAGTTGGCAGCATCAGTATGGATGGTGATGAGATTGAGATAGTTTTTGTTTACTTAGTTCCACAGTCAACACTCTTGGTAACAGCAGCCAGGAAATCAGGAGACGAATTGCATTGGCAAAAAGTCAGTTGTGAGGGACATCTCAAGAGTACTGAAAAGCAACGATGTCAGGCTGGTAACTAAGGTCCATCTGATCCAGGCTATAGTCTTTGTAATTACGTGCTATACATTGGAGAGTTGGATAATGAATAGGTATGATAGAAAGAGAATTGATGTCCTTGAGCTGTGGTGCTGGAGAAGTATGTTGAATATATCATAGACTGCTAGGAGAACAAACAGGTTTGTCCTGGAGAGGGTGAAGCCAGAAGGCTCCTTGGAGTCAAGGATTCTGAAGCTTCATTTGACTTACCTTGGGCATGTTGCAAGGAGGGACTGGTCTTTGGAGAAGGACATCATGTTTTGGAGAGGGGAAGGACAGCGCAGGAGAGGGAGACCCTCGATGAGATGGATTGATTCTGTGAGTGGAGTGGTGGGAATGAATGTGTTTGAGATGGCGAGGTTTGCACAGGATAGAATGGCGGTTAGAGCTCTTGTAATAGGGTTGCTAAGAGTTGCAAGTGACTCGATGGCACATAACAACATCAACAACAACAACAAATCTGCTGTTACTTTTTTAATTAAGTTTCCATTAAGTGAGGAATCTTGAATTTTTGTGTAATTTTTGTATATGGCAATTTAAGGTAAAATTAAGAGGTTTTATTTTTGCCCAGAAAACTTTATTAAGTGTTTAATAAATATTTTGAGTTAACAAGACCTTGAGGAGGGTTGATTGTTACTATATTTTGGAGGAACATTCTTCTAACTACAGAACTGTTCTGTCAGTATGCTGTACTTTGGTAAACTGGTGTTGCTGTGATGCTGAACCTTGGGGCCATTGGGATATCAAATGCCATAACGGTTACCCATGGTGGACAGTGTTTGGTGGAGCTCCCAGTTTAAGACAGGTTTGGAAGGAGTGGAATCTTCTGCCTAAACAGCATGCCTCTGGAAACTATGAACTTTGAGAAACTACCATAGTTTCTTCACTGTGAGTTGTGCTCGACTCGACGGCAACAACAATAAATATTTAGAAGCTTGTGCATACTCTCCAAATAAGTTGGAGAGGGCACAATTATTTATATAAATTCTTTATAGGAGAATTTTAGATAGGAGATAGCTCAGTAATGTAGCTTGGTTGTGGTATCTTGTTTTAGATTATTCTTAATTCAAGAGATCAATCTATAAGTTGACCTCTGATTACTGCTTTGGCTGCTTCCCAGAGGTTTTGGCAAGTGGTGTCTTCATTGTCATTAGTTTCAAGAAACTTTTTAATTTCATTCTACTTCTACTACCCAGTCATGTTCAAGCAAGGTGTTGTTCAGCTTCCTTTATCATCCTATTATTAATTTCTATTTTGTGGCATTATGGTCTGACAAGATGGTTTGTATTATTTCTATGTTTTTGAATCTACTGATGCTTGGCTTGTGACCTAGAATGTGATCTATTCTAGAGAATGTTCCATGCACTTTGGAGAA